CGGCGCTCGGGCGTGCCGGGCGGGCTCTAAGCCCAAGGCCAGCGGGGCGGAAGAGGAACGCAAGGCTGGGAGCTCTGGCCACCCAGGCCTCTTTCCTTGTTTCTCCTCTCTCGGCCTTACCCTGACTCTCCTTCGCCACATATTGACACCGACCGGGTCGGCACTGTAATAGGCCCCGGGGACACAGCAGTGAACAAGCAGACAAAAATTCCCACCCTCATGGACCTGGCATTCCATTGCGGAAGGAATTCAAGAGGAAAAAGAAAGGATGCTGATAGGTACTGGGAAGTGACAGGTGTAAAGAAAAGCAAAACAGGGTATGGAGGTCATTCGTTCAGTTCTTCATTCTTTGTTATGCTCTCTGAATCAGTAGAAATAACAACTCCAAGTGTGTTTTTTCCTGTTCTCTCACTCACCAATCATCATAAGACTTCTGTGACCAAATGTGAAGAGGTTTCCCCCACACACCAAGCAAGTAGTCAGTTCTGCAGCAGACACCAGCTGGGTCTCCTCCAATTCAATTCCGACACTAGCTGCCTGGAGACAGCATCTGATCCCACCAGACGAGGGCTCAGTCCCCAAGGTTGCCCATGCCTCATACCAGTTGCGAGTCCTGGCCTGAGAAACTTATGACCCATCTGCTCCAAGCTGGGTTCCACGATTCCCTGCTTGGGTTCAATTAATTTGCTAGAGTAGCTCACAGAACTCAGGGAAACATTTATCTTTACTGGTTTATTAATAAGGTTATTACAAAGAATATACATGAAGATATGCATGAGATGAGGTATGGAAGGGGTGTGCCACCCTCCAGAAAACTCCCATGTTAGCTATCCAGAAGCTCTCCTTTGGGATTTTTATGGAAGCTTCAATATGTGAGCATGATTGATTTAACGTTCAGTGCCTCTCTCTCTCTGGAGGTTGGGGATAGGGCTGAAAGTACAAACCCTCTAATCCTGCTTTGGTCTTTCCTGTGGCCAGCCGCATCCTGAAGCTACTACCTAGGAGCCACCAGTAAACTTATTAGCTTTACTAAAAGACATCACTTTGGATGTTAGGAGTTGCATGCCAAAAAATGGAGATGAAGAACAAATACAAAGGGGAACCCCCCCAAATGGAATTATCTATTTTTTGAAGGGCAGGCCCCTTGTAGTACAGACTTCCCTCTCCAGGTAAGTGTTCTAGGAACACATCAGCACCTGTATACCAGCTAGCGTTGTTGTGAGAGTCAGCATTTGGCTTCAGTGAATTTTTTTTTTTTTTTTAGAGATTCTTTCACTGAGTTTGCCCATTTCATGATGGGTGATTTAT